TTTCATATTTTTTGTGTATTTATTAATTTTTTAAAATATTTTTTTCTAAATATTTTACTTTTTAGATAAATTTAAGTACAGTACATCTAAAAAAATTTAAAAAAAAAAGAGGTTAAAATTTTAAAAATATTCACTAAAAACAAAAAAACACGAAAAATAAAAAACTTAATTTTTAAAAAACTTAATCTAAAAAACTTAAACCAAACACACTGAAACATCGTTTGGCATTGGCTAACATAGCAGCCAATTTTTTTGTGTTGAAACTTTTTTAGCCTGACTTTTTTAGTCTCGTTTGGTTTATTTTTTTATTTTTTTGACTTTTGTGAGAGAAAAAATATAATGATTATGAGTTGAATGTAATATTTTATTTTATTAACTTATTTTATCATTTTTTGTAGCCCCAAAATAATAGCCAAACCAGGCTGAATATAGTTTTGAGTACCAATTCAGTAGGCTTATAGTAATGTCAAATCAATAAAAATAATAAGTGTAATGTGTTTCAGTTTTTTAAAAATTAAGTTTTTGTTTTTTTGTATTTTTTTTGCTTTTAGTGAATATTTTTAAAATTTTAAGTAATTTTTTTAGATATACTATCTAAATAGTAAAATATTTGTGAAAAAATATTTTTAAAAATTAAAAAATATACAAAAATATGAAAAATGTATTGATTTTTTTATATTTTTGGTATTTAGTGAATTCTTTAAATATTTTTTTCACAAATATTATATTTTTATGTCCATTTATGTTAGGTGTGTTTAAAAATTAAAAAATTCATTAAAAATAAAAAAATATAAAAATAAAATTTTCTAAAAAATATTTTCTAAAAATAAAAAACAAATGAGCTGAATAGTTAACTTGTGTATGCGTATATTCAGACGCATCAAATTATGTGAATGAATGATTAATAGTGAGATATATATAGCTTCTTCATATTCATTCATTGAGGCGATTGGATGATTCGAAAACCACTGCGACAAGCAAATCTATGAACTAGCGGTAGCAGTAACAGTAGCAGAGTAGCTTGCTTACATTTCATCATTTCACACTTCACTTTTCCTGTAAAAGCCCCTCTATATCTATATTGGCAGGCCACTACTTTGACCACGACTTTGTTTATTCATTCAAATTTATCAAGGGAAAAAAAAAACAAAAAAACAAATTACTACTAATTAAATAATTTTTTTAAAAAAAAACACACACACACACTCAATTCTAGAAAATTCATGTACAAGTGCCGACCTCTGTGTGTGAGTGCAGTACACGTGCTTCCTCATTTATGTCGATGTCGATGTCGTCGATGTCGATGATGATCATGCCCGTGACTCCCAACACTGAATCCTGCCCCTGCTCTTGCTATGCTGCCCTGCCCATTGGATGGAGATCTTTCTTTCTTACTTGCATGCTGCATGCTGCATGCTGCTTTCAGGAGATGTCAATCTTGTGATTGTCTCAAAATTTGTAGAGAATTCAAACCAAAAAAAAAGAAAAAATCAAAATTTTCATCCAATATTTATACCAAGGTAGGTCTCATGTGGTGTGAATGGCACAAACGTACGGTACAGGTATTGTGTAAAAAAAAAAATTATAATCCTTTTAAGCTCCCTAGCTAGTATTTTGCTTGTGATGATCTCTTCTTCTCATACGTGAAGGTTTACCCACTTATACACACAAATATATTACATTTAAATTTTGTGTAATTTGATGAGCAAACAAGACAGGTTGGATTTAAAAATTATTTTGTAATTATTTTTGGATGTCTAGTTTTAAATTAATTGAATTGTAGTTTTGAAAGAATAAAAAAGTGTGAGTAATAACAAAATTTTAGGTATTCTTAGAGAAATAAAATGTATGATGAAACTTTATAAAACTTAACACCAAATCAAATTGTACATTTTATATAATATGCATTGTTATTTACCAAACCCATGGTTTTTCAAAAATAAATTGTTTTAAATTTATTTCTTCAATCAAGTTTAATTTTGAAGTCATATTTTAAAAATACCACTTGAATTTTCAAGTTGTGTTTTTTACTCAAATTTTTTTAACAACAAATAAATTGAAATAATGTTTTGAAAAGTGAAATCACAATTTTATTGAACTTATAAGTGTTTTCAAAAGGTAATGCTGCAATAACCATTCATTTATATCATTTTATCTTAGTATTATCAGTATTATATTGGACATATGAGACTCATTACATTGCAATAACCATTCATTTATTATCAGTATTATATAGAAATATGAAAAGTATAACATTGTTAGTTTTTAAAATATAATTTCAAGTGAACTCACAAGACAATATACGTTTATAAATAACATTGAAATCTTATTTTAAATTAGGAGAATTGCCTGACAGTGATAATGGTAAAAAAAATAAGTACAAATTAATAAAAAATTATAATTATAATTATTATAGTATTTGTAATTTTTTTTTTATTTTCTTGTAAATTACAAATTAATATATTTTTTTTCAACAGCATGGTTTGGGAATTTACGGTAATTTTTTATTTTTATTTTCTGGGGGAGATGCGACATGGATTGGTGGATTATTTAAGTATTGGATGTCTGCTTCCTTTGTCTCCATAATTATTATAGTATTTGTAATTTTTTTTTATTTTCTTGTAAATTACAAATTAATATATTTTTTTTCAACAGCATGGTTTGGGAATTTACGGTAATTTTTTATTTTTATTTTCTGGGGGAGATGCGACATGGATTGGTGGATTATTTAAGTATTGGATGTCTGCTTCCTTTGTCTCCATTGGTTGGCATAACGAATCTTGTCCTCAAACCCCATGAGAGGAGAGAAGAGAGAGGAGAGAGGAGAGAGTTGTTGTTGGGGGTTGCATTATCCAATCCAATCCAAGTCTGGAAATTATTTTAGGGAGAAGCTGCCCTTGGTCTTTGCACCAACACTGCCAGCTCCATTCTTTAGTAGAAAACCACTAATGTCTCCTCATCAGCACCATGCAAATAACATATTGTACACAAATCTCTCTACTTATTGTTTATATGAATCACAGTCAATAATGAGTCTATTTTATCATCTCATTTCACTCTTTAAGAGGTGGAAACTTTGTTCTTATATATATAACTGTTAAAGTTTTTGTTATTGGCAAGTTCGTTTGATAAAATTTCTTTCAATTGTAATTTTATTCACTATTTTATTACAATAAAGTTATGAGTGTTTAGATGTGAATTCAACCCGAATTGTACTTATGCAGAGGAGTTTGTGATCCCGATCCTTTTATGTCTGCCACTTTACTGACTATGTACGAGGGTCGAGCTATCCGATCAGCTCAGGAGGGTTTAGGAGACAATGCCCCTGAAGCAAAAAAAATGCAGTTGAAGTTATTTGACCACTCGAGCGGTTATTTGTGCGCTCGAGCGGTGAATGACATCATCTAATATTTTTGTAGAGTGTCCAAACTTCTAAGTGCATCTTATACGCATTCGAGCGGTGGAGTCTTGACTCGAGCGATGGGCATGCGTTTTAATGAGTTCGCTCAATGATGAAGTGGTCGCTTGAGCGGTCAACCTATATGTTTTGCACTGCCTTTGCTCACACCACTCGAGCGATGAAATATGCGCTCAAGCGGTCTTTGCGATTCAATTTACTATAATGTACGCAGTTTGCTGTTTCTATTGTTGGTGTTTTATGAGTGTTTCCTTGATGGTTTAAGAGTGATCAATGGATCTGTGGATTTCATATCAACATCATCAAGGGTTTATTTATTTTCATTTATTCATAAAAGAGAGAGTTTTTCTTCTGTGGATTCCAAAGAACTTGGGCTTGAAACTTTGGTGAATTTCGGATTGGCTTGTCGTCATGGATTCGACATCAGTGTTGTGGATTCAATGTTGGGCAAGACAATTCAGAGGTGAGGACAGTTATGGAAGAGGCACATAGCGCTTGGTTCAATTCGGGTATAGATTTACTAGGTAATTGAAGATACACTTGTATAATTCATTTTCGTCTTTTAGTGAATTGTTTTGTGGTTTTGGCCTGTGATTTTTTTTATCACAATTGGAGGCATTCCAATTGTGATTTTTTCACGTTAAATCGTTGTATCAGTTTGTCATTGATGGTTTGATTGGGATTGTCATTCGTCATTTAAAATCGAAACGCAATCACAAATCAATATCTTTAGGGTTTTAGATTTTTCAATAACAACTATCAGTATATGGTTCAACAAATAATATAATGATAATCATATTTGTATATTGTATTTGTTTGTATATCATTATTATATTAGTTTAATAAATCTCACTATTCATATCTATTATTAATACAATTGTGATGCATCATATATAATACACAAAAATAATAATTATTGTTCTTCTATTATCATTGGAATGATAAAGGGGGAGAAAAGTTTCAAAGAATCAAATTGTGGAGCATTTGTATTTTATAAAGATGGAATGAATGAAGTTCATTCATCACATATAGAAAGAAAAAGATGCCAATGAGTCCCCATGTGCTCAGATGCTCCACTCTAGGACCACCCCCTCCCCCATCTTTCCCCCTCCTCCACTGAGGATCTTGAAATTTTTTTAAATATACAGAATTCGCTCATAGAACTGGAAAACTTATTAATGATTGTATCTAATTTTGTAATCAAATTCTGTATAAATAATAAATAAATAAATAAATAACTGAATGTTTGTTGTGCTCTCTCATCTCTTGAGAGTTGAGGCATCTCATCTTTTTCACAAAATTCTAATCAGATAATATAAGCCTTTGTCTGCTTTCATTGGAAGCCTCTCCTTTTTATCTTTCTTTGCATCTCCTTTTCTCTCCAAAATCATTTTCCCTTTCAATTACAGAATCTTCAGATACCGGGCTACTATCAAAGCTGCCATTTTTTTTTTAAATTTCTTCTTCCTATGATTGTTCAGAAATTCGATACTCAAAAGAAAAAAAAAAAAAAAAGTCCTCAAACCCCATGAGAGGAGAGAAGAGAGGGGGGAGAGGAGAGAGGAGAGAGTTGTTGTTGGAATTCATTTCATGAAAAAAGCTCGATATTATAATTTTCATCATCATAATCATCATGATTTCTCACTTGTGACAAAACAACTATATGGCTCATCCGAAGAAGATGTGATTTCTCATACAAGTAATGAAGAGAAACTGAAATTGTAGGCACTGGTTTCTTCCTGATCTGATGATGTTTTGGAAGACACTTCAGTGATCCCACTTGAACATGATGAGGCAGAGGATGGTTGAGGAGGGCCTGAGTCACTACCCTCTTCCGTCTTCATGGTATCGATAATGCTAGGCCTAATCTTCCTCACATTCCCATATTTAGAAACCTGAGATTTGACCCCTTTGTTTTTGGATTTCCACATCTTTTGGTATATCCGACACACAACCCATTCTTCTTCCATTTCCATCATAAATTTCTACATATGAAATCGAAAAGAACACAATTAAACCACATGAACTCCCAAAAATAATAAACAATAAATCTGCAGATAGGTATGCATTGGCAATAGTACCTCTGTTGAGTTGGGGATGGTTTGAGAGCCTGCAAGGCGATATTCATGCATGACCCAGTGAGTTCTTAACCCACGGGGACGCTTCCCTTGGCAGAAAACTAGTGATTTTTTAACCCCAACAGCTTGATTGCTTCCAGGAGATATAATATATTTGTCTTTGCCCATGGCTTTCCAATAACCAGACCCCGTGATTCCCTTACATTTGTTCACATTCTTTTTTGATCTTTTGCAGAAGAAAAACCTTTTCTCTTTCGAATCACCTGAACCCCGAATAGAGAGGGGGAAAAAATCATTAAAAACAAAATTCTGAGCTAATTATCTCCCCAGTTTGCTTAGAAGAATTTATCAATTCAATTGAACACAAACACATAAAAAGGGTCTATTTGATTTTGTTTTTATTTTCTTTGTTCAATTTTTGGTGTTTATAAAATAATGAAAATTTTGAAAGTATCCATAGATTTCATATATTTTTATTTGTGTGTGCAAATAATTTTTTTTAAAAAATTGTTGGGTATTTTTAAAAGGTGATTGACTTTAGAATTTTTTTCAGAAAATATTTGATGTCCCCAAATATATGACAGCTAGAAGACATGCCATGCTCCTTATTTAAAACCAATCACATCTATACAATCTTGGTTTAAGGATGTTTCTAAATTTATGTACAAATTGCATTTTGAACTATTCGTTTAGTTGATTTTAACAGGGCATGAAAGCAACCAAACATATGTTGCAATTTAGTAGGAATTAGGAGCTAGGTAGTAATAAGTTACGTGAGGAATAATCGTAACTAACCAGGCAAGTCCCAAGGGTTGGTCTGGAAAACATCAAGATCAGGAATGACACAGGCAGGCAATGGAAAAGAGTGGATCTTTCGGTTGAGGTAGTGAACCACAAGCTCTTCATCAGTTGGGTGGAATCTAAAACCGATTGGCAGTTTCATCATCATTCCTCCTTTTCTAACCATGTTTGCCTTCTCCATCTCCATCTCCATCTCTATCTCTATCTCTATCTCCGTCCAAGATTTATCTTCAAATCTCAGCTCCCCAAACTTTTGTCTGGTCTAAAAGCCAAACCAAAAGAGTTGAGCTATTGTTTATGCATTCATGAAGCGAAGCAAGCCATGTGTAATGTTGGATATGTGCGAAATGTGTGTATCCCTCCAAGTTTTAGAGAGAGAAAAAGTTGGGTTCAAAAGACTTGTGGGCTGTCTGTGGGAAGGGGATGGAACTCCATTTGTAATATATATATATATAGAGAGAGGTGAAATTCTCCACTACACTACTCTTATTCTGACTGGAACTCCCTACTTGACTTTGGATGGGATGGAGGTGCTTTAGATTGACGAGGAGAGTGTTTTTCTATCTTTTTCTACAAACGTGTAAGCGACATCCAACGGCCACAAAACTGTGCCTGGTCAAACAAGCATGAGGTCTAATTCATGCCGCGTGCCATTCCACCTCTGTCTGCTCCTTGGATGTCCGTTGTGTTTCCTATCAATAAGCCCAAGGGTGCGACAACTTGTAAGATTTTGAAGTATAAATCTTAAAGTTTCTAAGTCTTATTTTTTTTTTGGAAATTAGTTATTCAAGCGACGATGCATATGATTGGTAATACGAATCTTTTAGATTTGAACGAATTATACCTAATATCAAAAGTATGAGTTCGAATGTTTGTATGCGAGTCTAGATTTATCAGTACATAGTTGAGTGGTCCTATTATTTATCAGTACATAATAGAGAAATGTATAATCTAAATAAGTGCATTTATTTAATTTATGTCAAATAATGCTCAAGTGAACTAAAATAAAAAGAGTACTTTAAAATACATCAAATATAATTGTATGGACTAAAAGACGAAAAAGAGAGGGTAATGGTTTATCTTCTCACTATGAAAATAATAAAATTGCATTTTAATTGAGTAATAGATAAATAATTTTATTTATGATGCGCAAGTCTCGTGTGTGTCTGATAGAAGTTCATTTTTATTAAGAACTCGCTGGGCAATATCATTTTTTAATTTAAAAGTTAAAAAATCATTAAAAAAAATTAAAAAGCTAATAACTTATAGTAAAAAGTCAAAATTTTCTTTTCTTTCTATACTTTTTGTACATTTTTTTGTACAAAATTAAAAAGTCAAAAAATTATTAAAAAAATTTGTTCCCAAACGAGTATAATGTTTTTTTGTGTGCTTTTATACTAAAATAAATTATCATATAATGAAAGTATTTTATAATTGTTACATCTATTTGCAATTTACACTCCAAATAAAAGGATGGAGTGGGCAGTTATTTTCATAGTTGATATCATATAAACTTTCAATTTTAAAAGGAATGGCAGGGATCTCCAACTTCACCGCTCAAGTTGGATTGCCAATCCGTAAATTCATTTTCTTATTTCTCACTAGCCTTATTTGGGAAGTAGATTGTGATAAAAATAAAATGGAACAAGAAATTAATAAAATAAAATATTATATTTAAATCATAATAATTTTATTTTTTCTCTTATAAAATTATAAAAAAATTTAAAGATTTTTAGAAAAATCCTATGGTACACACCCCAAAATATGTAATTTTACCATCAAATTTCATAACATCAACTATAAAATGCGTAATCTTACCACAAATTAGCGTAACAAAAAATATCGTAATCAAGTCACAAATTTTTGTTGAATGAATCACAAAATTTTAAACATTTATTTTGAAAAGATGGTTATAATCAGCTTTTAAGTGAAAAGCTGCTTATAAGCAGTTTTTTTGTGAGAGATGATGTGAGTTATAATCTAGAAAATGGATTATAACCCACTTCTCAAAATATTATGTTAATTTGTGGCAAGATATGTATTTTGTAATTAATGTTATTAAATTTTATAATAAAATTACTTCAATTTGTAATGGGGTGCATATGGTGTGTACCACAAGATTTCCCTTATTTTTATTGGTTCAAAAACACCATATTATCGGGTTAAATTATTCTTTATCAATAAAGAATAATGCTAGATAAAAATTTAAATAATGTTATGCCACAGTATTTGGTGAAACATCTATTTATAGTTTATGATGTAAAAATAATAATTATTTAAAAATTAAAAAAATATTTTTAATTTTTTAATTTTTAATTTGAAAAAATTTACAGCTAACAAACATGTCCAATTTTTAGTCCTTTCTGAGGGCTTTTGAATTCTCATTTTAACAAAGAAAAATGATAAAAATCCTGAACCAAATGTGTGAGACCCATAGTATGTGATGTGTATTTTACATTCATATAAAATATTTAATAAAATATTAATAAAGTATTTAAAATTTCTAACATTACTATTTGTGTTCGTTTTTTGACTATTTTAGCTTGAAATAAAAAATCTCATTTGGGGATAAGTTTTTTTGATTTTTTTGACTTTTTATAAGAGAAATAATGTAATGATTATAAGTTGAATGTGATATTTTATCTTAATAGATTAAAAATATTACTTTATCTTTTTATAATTAAAATAATCCCAAACCGAATGCAATCCAATCTAAGTTGCCAAAGGAAGACTTTAACAAAATAAGTGTGAATTGTGATTTGAAAGTGTGTTCCCAGAGTCTCTGTGAATGCTTGTTCAAAAAAAAACACAAAAATGTCGCTGTGAATGTACTTTATATCCGCAGAAAGTAGTACGTTTTAATCCCCGTCTTAATACATGAATGCGGCAAGAAAAAACAAGACAGACCCCCCTCCATTCACGTTTCCTCTCCTCTATAATGAATGGGGTAAATTATCAAGTTATAACAGCATCCATACCAATTTTTTCAAATTTTTAATTAGATTGGAACTTAAAAAGTTATTTTGCTATTTTAATTAGTTATTTTTTTAGTACTCACTGTATCAAACTCTCTACTCTAACTCAATCTTATTAAAATATTATTTTTTTATTGTATTTGTTATTCTTTCTTTTTTTATTAAATTGATTTTTTTTTTATTAATTGATGAGCTGCCAGCCAAATAATTTTTAAAATATGTTCCAAAAAAAAAAATTTGCCTTTAACCGATTGACCGGCCAGACTTCTAGACAGACATTTAGTAACACCTAATCCGCTTGTTGTAGCGATGAACAGTATCTCACTTGTTGTAGTAAGAGACAGTAACACTCATAAATTTTGACGCATTTGTAGCGAGACTGATGGGCCTAAGTTTGAAGTTTATATCGCTAGTTTAGCTAAAAATCGACTTTACCAAGTTTGATGAGGATGCTCTAATAATTAAATTTAATTTTTATAAATTTTATTGAAAATAAATTTTAATAAAATTATTATTAAAAATAAATTTTTATGATAATTTTTTATATATGTCATTAAAAATTAATAATTAGTGAATTTTTTTGTCACGATTTTTATAAATTGTCACTAAAACTTATAATTAGTAACATTTTTTTGTGACAAATTTTTTAAATTATCACTGAAAGTTAAAAATTAGTTGTGACAATTTTTTTAAACTATTGCTAAAACTTATGAATAATAACATTTTTTGTGACAAAAATTTTAAACTGTTACTAAAAATTAACAATCAGTGACGTTTTTTTTAAAATAATGTTTGATGAAAAATGTCATTAATTATTATAGAACCTATTAAACAATAAATTTACTTATTAAGACCTACATGTAAGTTTCTTTAATGAATAATAATAGGCATCATGAAAAAAAAATATTATAAAATATTTTATAAATATTTTTCATCTTTTAATTAGTGTATAATATTTTATTATATGAATTATCTAAAAATAGAAAATCTTTATGATTTACTCGTTTTTAATTACTAGAAGTATTTGAACTTTTGATTATTGAAGAACCCAACATCTCTCTAGATGCGTGTTTGATTTGAACACGGTTCAAAATTAATAATTAATTAGTATTAAAAAAACTTCAATATGGAAACATAACCCTTCCGAGAAGTGGTAGAAGAAGAAGGAGAAGATGATGGGAAACGCAATGCCTTGGTTTTGTTTTGTACGTCCTTCAAATTGACAGTAGTGCTCAGCCTCCCGTGAGAAAAACGAGGTCCACTATTCCCCTCCATTTATTTATTTAGCTCATCATGTTTGTCTTCATTTGCAATTAAAATAAGCCGCTCCACCAATTTATTACTACATATCCTTGAAGTAATTATCATGTTTTATTGTACGGGAAAGAAATAAATTTTTTCATATAATTCTGTTGATTAAGTTTGTATTTCTCTGTACGTCATCACTTTACTCCCTAAAAATATAAACGTGAGCTAACCGGCGGGTGTGTGCCGGAAACTCCTCCGATGCCTAAGTCAGCAAAATAGACAAGTAGACAAAAGTTCTGTGTATTCAGGAATCAAAGCTGTGTTTCCTCTCCATAGGTGATGTTGGTGAGCTTTTATAGGTTCCATGTGGCACAATCCAAGTAAGACTCTTACTCCTCCATGTAGAGTTCTCCTAGGATTCATACTCTTGAAGGATAATGTTTATCCTTCAACACCCTCCTCACTGCTTAAACCAAGTGAGATGGTTTTACCATGGCCGGACTACCATACAACCGAAATAACATTGCCATGCTAGACTAACTGGAGTGGCCGATCTAACTGTTAGTTTGACTCTTCCTTGCTTTTCTCCTACCTCGGCTTCACATGCCAAGACTGAGCTATTTGTAGAAGAGTTGGGCCGAGCTAACCAAGAACAAAAGTCCTGAAGAAGGCTCCGTATATCTCGGCTAAAGATTACGACCGGGCCAACCAATTTGACCGTGGCGACCGAGATAACAACATGGCCTTCTTGGACCGAGCTAATGAAAAAAGTCATTTTACTCCACCTTTCTTACTTCGGCCCAAAGCGGCCTATTACCCAATCTCGGCCCAATTTATTCATATAAATTACCCTTTCAATTGCCCCTTAATTCCATCTGCGCAGCATGATGGGATTACCTTGTCTTCCAGCCGAGCTAAAAAATTTTAATCATACTACCGAGCTAAGCCTTTAAGCTTTTCCAGCTGAGCTAAGACTCTTTTAGCCTTTCCAGCCGAGCTTAGGCTCACACCGGTCTGTACCTGTCCGTTTCAAACGTCTCTTCAATCACAGCAACTGAATCACTTCTTATCCCAAGGACACGTGGCATACTCTTATTGGCTGAAGGTAGCTGTCACGCCGTCATCGTACCTCGTGTTTTTTGAACAGTCCCACCCAAATTTTGGGCCTCGCATCAAAACAAACTTTTTTTGTTTTTCTTTTTGAATCACCCACACCACTATTCATCTCCTTCTCTCTCTTCGAGCCTCCACTGTCCTGCAACTAAGGAAGCTTCGTGGTTTTGC